CGTCACCGACTACACCAACCGGACGTCCAGTATAGCTGTTTATTTCGTATTACCTATGTATCGCACCTGGCAGATAGCCCTTGCTGAGCTTTGTTTTAAACGGACGAAACCGCGCAATCTGACCTGTCACGCGACACGAGCGGCTGCGTCGACGCCGACCGAAAGACAATCCCTCACATCCCGAACGTACTGACTCCTGCGCCGTTACGGCCAACTCACACTGTCAGACTGCCCCGATATGTATATTTGTACATCGTTTGGTACTTACTTGTTGTTGGCCCTATAGAAATCCGTGCTGTGACAGTGACTACTTCCCGCTCCTGCTGATTGCGTCATTGCTGATTGTACGTTTGCTTAATTCATGATGCTTACTAATCCGTTTGTCTGTAGAACCAGTTCCTGTCAGTCCTCAATATATCATCCGCTGCCCCACGTCCGTCTGCCCCTATTGACTACTGGCTGCGAACTGCGTATTATCCAATAGTCGCAATCGCCCTGTGAGATCCATAACCGTCCGGATCTTGCAGTGGTATAAATCGCCATGCATCTCAGTGTTAACAGAACGGAAGGCGTGGAACTGACTAGTGTGTATAGAACGGTCTTAGGTCATTCGAGCTGACACGTGTTGGTGTTCGGTTATCGGAAGGAAGAGTGGTTATCTTCTGAAATCCACTTGACATCAACCCCCCTCAAAACAAATTGTCGGAGCACTCACAACTCCACAAAGACCAGGGAAAATCTAACTGTGGCACCCGAGGTGAATCGTCAAGTGAAGCACCCTGAAATGGAAGATTAAGGAACGAAAAGCGATAGGAACTAATTTGGAACTCCTCCAACCCATTGATCCAAGAATTTGGCACCCACACTAGCCTACAAAAGCCATTAATTGACAATCAACACTGATCTGGTGTGAAGAGAACTTACTGATCGGTCCTCCGTCTGTCTTATAGCCTGGCCAATTTGGTGACCTTTTCACTTGGCCTGAGGGAACTTCTGTGTCAAAAGCGAAACGTTGCCCAAATAAAAACTACCGATTGTTTACCAAGCTCTTCTGAAACGAGGTTATTGCGTTATATTTACAGAAATTTCGCAGCGAATGTGACCGGTTTCGGAAACCACCCGTTCTCTAGAATGGCTCCAAATAAGTATTCCGGCTGGAATTGTAAGCATGATCAAGGAAAAGCGGACTATCCACGCCATCAAGTCGATTTGGAGGCAGCTCCGTGACGCTCATATTTCACGCGGAGAAGCGCGAGCGCAATTGTTGGGGAAGACGATTTTTCAAACAGATATCTTCCGTTGTGTTCAAGTAGATTCCGGCCGCACTGGTAGGCGAATAACAGCTCGTTAGGGAGTATTATAGCAAGGGTGCGGGGGTAATCCCATGTTTTGTGATATTTCTACGAGTATTCCGACATGTTGGCTAGGTATAAATAACGTAAGTCACTTGTACAGCTTTGCCTAACAGACCAGCAGTGTTCTTTCTCTATCGGGGATGCGCATGTTCCTACGGCGGCTGGATCCACATAGGGCACATACAGAACATCCTATAGAACGCTTTGCCCTGCGAAGCAAATACTGCAATAATCAAACACAAATCGCGTCAGTTTCCCTTGTTATGGTTTTCAGACTTGGATGATTATTGCAGATTGATCGTGTCTATTTGATGCCAGCACTGTACTCGCTTTGTCACCTTAGGAAACTAATGCCGCTAGCTGTAATACGGATGAATGATGATGATACGAACAACAACCTGTCGCTAAATTGCGTCAACTATCGTCACTCGTCTCTGTAGGAGAAAACGACAACTACCAGAATAAGGCCAGGAAATGTGAAGAGAAAAAGTGCAAATATAAGAAAGAGCCACTCGACTGACCGGGCCACCTGCAGAAACTGAGCTGGACCTAATTTATCCAAATTTGTGAAGACAGAAAACCTCATCGTAGTTCCTTTCAGTGCCCTACATGTAGTTCTGAAGTAAACCACCTAAAGTCTGCAGAAACCAATTTACGTCGAGACATACTCAAGCCGACTATGACGAACTAGGTCGGAGGAACTGAGAGGCTAACAGGTGGAAGTGGTGGCAATGGCAATGGTAATTTACCGCAGGAACCAGTCATCAGAAGTTCGGAAATGGGGAACGGATAATTCAACGCATAAAACACAAGCGGCTCATCAATCAAATGATAAGAAGATTATGGAGAACGCAACACACATAAGGGGCGGCGTAGGCCAGTAAATGTGGAGGCAAAGCGCAACCGAACCAATCAGGTGTAACTCTGACCGCGGTATTTCGAAAATGGAGTTGGTTTTTGTTTAGGAATTTTTCGCTGCCCCCAACCCTCCTAGGTTGACGCATATCATCTTGCTCTATTTTTTGCGCACAAGTATATCTTATGCTCGATGAGATTTTTATCAGATTACAATTCTTTCCCGCTGTGCACGAGGATGAGCCATTTTATGGAAGGCTGTTCTCCATTAAGATTTATCAGTCAACCATAAAAATGCGTACCATACCGGTGTCCGCAGAATGAAAATCATGGAATGAAATGTCATGTCTGATAGGCTTGGTGATATGTTAAACTTAGTTTTGAGCGGCAACCGGATATCCCCACCACTCGGTTCCGCAGATACAAGGTGTCGGCGCCACCTGCCACCACCTCAGTGGTTCTATATATCTAGCAGCTAACAGAACACCTGCTAACTCCGAACAAAATCCCAAAGTTGATGTCAGAAAACTTCATACAAACGTGTTCCGCGAGTCGCGACATTTGAGGACAAACGTTTGAAGGCTGTTGTTGTTATAAACACAAAATTCGACGGCCCATGATAAACTCTACACAAAAGTCTCCCTACGAATGGGAACCTGGTGCTTTCCACCCCGAACCAGCTCTCCAGAGCTGCAGTCAACACCCCGAGGAATCAGTGTTGTACAGACGCACTTGAGAATTCAGAGCGAACATCGAAGTATCGTTTTCGAAAACAACCCCACAGAAGTTGGCGAAATCGCCCGTCTGTGCCAATATTACACAAGGTGAGCAAGAATCACTTCATGCAGAAATGCTACGAAAGAAAGAAGCAGAACTTTGAGATTCTTGACACTTTGCAATCCTGAGCCGGTACCTGAGTATTCAAAAAGACTTTTTGCCAAGGAAACTGGCAGCCGAGGATAGTCTTCTAGGGATAAAGAAGTAAATCACGCTGGTCCAGGAGGGACATTGTGAAACAAACTCACTCTTGAACACAAAATAACCTATCCGAAAGTTTTGGCCACCTCAATGGTCCTTGTGGAAGTTTGTGTTCCCGAAAACGCACTGCAAAAGTCGACCATGAATCCACATTGAGGCTTCTGCCATAAAACTGCAAATTACTGGCTACTAACGACAGAGACGCCAATGTTGAGATAAGTTTCACATTCATGAAGCGACCATTATACATAGAATTATTGTCACTTATTTTTTTAGCTAACCTGAGGTCGAAGAATGCTCGGACCGGCCGTGCAGATAGGCTCAGACAATTTCGATGGTCAATTCGCCACAAATGCTGACCTTAAGGAGAGAGACGACTTTAAAAGTTTCACAATCTGTGTTCTGAATTTTGGCTCAAATTGACCGCAAGCTTGAACCCTAAATGTGCGTTCAAAACATAAGTGGGCAGATTCCTCTTCAATTCATGCCTTTTTCACGCCAGTGAACTAGCAACTGCAATGGAGAAGAACTACGAAGCAGTTGTTCTGCAGGGTTTGAAAGGTTTGTCGCCATCGTAAACCGGCGATCTTCCAAATAAACCTAGAGAACAGCCTACAGCACATTGTCTCGCTCGGAAAGAAATAAAATATGCTTATTATTTACATTGGACCATGCCAATGGCCTTCAGGCTGCGGAAGGAAACGGGAGACGGAGGAGCTACTGTGGGTAGCCGAAGCCTACACAGAACACTGCGAGCGTTCTGTGACAGGAAATTCACGTGTGAGCAACTCATCAAAACTACTCGTCGAAGAGCACGACTCGGTGCACTCTTCTTCGTATTGCTCACACGGACGTCTAGACGTTGTGCGGAGCTTGCATCGCATAAGCTAGAATGCGTTGGCAAAGTAGCTCAGTCAGGACGCAAGAAGGACTTGTCTAGAATTTTTTCCTATCTGATGGGCGGTGATGAAGGTGACCACCGCTTTCAAATCCACTGAATTTGAGACACGCCTGGGACCCTTGTAAGGTTTCCTCTAGCTGTGCTCATTTCAGCTGCAACTGATCGTTGATTCCTTTCTTCTATTTTTGTTGTACAACGCGATTTCTCATTTTTTGTTATTTTGGTTTTCGCCTGAACATTGACTCTTCTTTGACATTGCATCGGATGTGTTGTTGAAGTCAACACGTGGTTTAGCTATCTTGTAAACATGTGTCTGTGTGGGCTTCGGGGTCTTTTAGGAATTAGCAGTTCCTGGACCAATGTATAGAAACCAGATTAGCCACAAGATTTGTGGTTTATAGAGTTTTATTATTTACTTATTTTATTTATAGTACCGCATTTGTAAAAAAACCAGCATTCGGACGAATTGGCCTCTGGGGTTCGCGCGTAACCCAACGTGATCCAACAGACAGCTGGAAAGAATCTATACCGACAATCGCTCAAGCCTTCAGGAATGAGTCTTAACCCATAAGTATTATACGGGTAAAGATCCGCTGAACAATTCCTCAAGACAAAAATTTTTGTCATCGTTTACGGTTATTATGGGAATGACAAACCACAACTAGAACCAGTTTCAGGTCGCTTTTGTGTGTTTTCAGGGGTTCTGGGCCAAAAAGTCCATTTTGCAACTAGTAAAACTAAAAACAGATGATACGTACCTCTTGGCTCGCATCTTTCAGGTGAAGCAAAGTCATTTAACGACTTGAATAAATTGTCCAGATTTGCTTGGTCAAAGGTCTTTATCCTGTACCTCATTTCTTGAACGAGTAGGGGGAGGGAAACCAAAATCACGTAATCATCAATGTACATACCGGTTCATCCCCAGACAACCGATCACGAAAGAGCTGGAGGAGGTGCGCTTTGGACGACCCCTGCGCGGCAACAAAAAATATGCGAGCAAAATATCTAGCTCGGGAAGCAGGTGAAACGCCATCTGGTAATCGTCCGATAAAATTACCCGAGGCCCAAATTTTAGACATGTTCGTAAGTTAGGGTTTACTGCTCCGAGAGTGTCGACGCACGGCCAGAGCTACGAAAGAATTAGTAGCAACGTATATACGTGAAACAGACTGTGTGCCTCAGCATCCACATATCCGTTTGTGAACAAAAATAATGAAGAAGGGTGGACCACACCTAGTTCCGATAAGCCACAATAAAAATAAAGCGACATAAGCAGGACAAAAGTTTCGTATAAGAATGACACATGAGAATGTTGCGCAAGATTGAGGCGGTGAGAGGGAATTGTAAATGTCGGTGACTGTGCGGGTAAGAAAATATGCTCCATACCGGTTCATCCCCAGACAACCGATCACGAAAGAGCTGGAGGTGCGCTGTGGACGACCCCTGCGCGGGAAGCAGGTGAAACGCCATCTGGTAATCGTCCGATAAAACTACCCGAGGCCCCAACTTTAGACATGTTCTTAAGTTAGGGTGTACTGCTCCGAGAGTGTCGACGCAAGGCCAGAGCTACGAAAGAATTGGTAGCAACGTGCATATGTGAAACAGACTACGTGCCTCAGCATCCACATATCCGTTTGTGGACAACACCTAATGAAGAAGGGTGGACCACACCTAGTTCCGATAAGCCACAATAAAAATAAAGCGACATAAGCAGGACAAAAGTTTCGTATAAGAATGACACATGAGAATGTTTCGCAAGATTGAGGCGGTGAGAGGGAATTGTAAATGGCAGTGGTTGTGCGGGTTAGAAAATTTGCTCCAGGGGCCTTAGGGTAAGTACTAGGCCCGCATTGGGATTCAAGACAGGCCGCATGCGGCGGTAGAAAACCCAGAGTGAGGGGAGGAATTCCTTTGGGATCATATGGGTCGGAAAACTAATTTATTAAGCTTTCAGCCTCTGGGTGAACGGTGAAATTCAGATTATCAGAGCAGAAATGACAAAGGACGAAAAATAAGTTACGTTCTTCGGAACCCCGCTAGGGAAAACGAGTACTGGAGAACAATACAAATATGAAGGCCAAAATTGCAAATAAAGTAATATGATTGCCGGGGAAAGATTAAAACATCAGATAAATAGGTCAAAATTTCCGAGATTAAAAAGTTATAACTAACGCCGTCTTCGCTAAATTATGTAGGCTTCTAAATAAGCATATGGGTCNTATTCCCAAGCAAGTTCAATGAGTTGGCCATGATTTCGCATCTAAATCAATCGGGAAGCCGCATTTTCGTGAACCGACTAAAACACAGAAATCAGAGCACACTGACGAAAGGTTGTGTCATTAAGAGGCAGAGCCGGTTACACAACAATATAGGGAAAGACGTCAAAACTTACGTAAA